TTCCTTCTCTGGGGGGCTGACTTCCCACACTCCCACTAGAGGTTATTTCCATAAGTAATCTTGCAAACCAGCATAATCTCAGCGACATTAATCCTAATTCTCCAAGGCCACAATTCTGTATCTTTTTTTTTTTTTAAAAAAAAAATCTTAATCAAGCAGACTTACCTGCTTGACAAATCTCAATTTATCCAACTGGCCGCTTAATCACAGCGCCTTTAAAAATCTGCTGGCCGTAATGATAATCTAATTATATTCTAGATGAGCTATTTTAGCCCTGTCTGCTACGAGATTAATTTGGTGGATCCATCCTCGGCTATCAAAATAGCAAAATAAGACAGAGGGCTGGGCATCGCTACACAAACCCAGATTAAAGTTGGCTTATTTAAAATAAAGAGGAAAAAAATGATCCTAAGAGAGAAATAGACCTAATACATTGACAGAGAGGGAAATTATGCTGATAATGGAAGGTATTTCTTTTCCAAAAAAACCCCAACTTGGCTAAAGATAGGGTAGCTATTTTTAAGTCCCTTGTTTAAGCGAACAACAATTTTAGTTAAATTTAGGAGAGGCATCGCTGCTGCAGGGATACAGTAATAAAATATAACTTTCCTTTTTCCTGCTTGCTATGCAGCTTTTACTGTGCCATTATGGTTAAAAAATCAGAGGGGGAAAAAAAGTGGCTTTTAGAGAAATCTGCAAACCTCAGAGCATTTCAAAATTAAGCTTGGTTGCTTTTTGCCAACTTAAACCTGGGGCTGTTTTTTTTATAAGGAAATGATGTCCTTCATTTTTAGGATGTCTTTTTTTTTCCTCTTTTTAAAGGAAAGCATTCAGATTCTCTTTTAACTTACTGCAGTGAAGAGATTGAAAACCCTGTTTCTGTTTCATTTCTTAACAGCCAACATTCTTTCACTTAGGAAGCTCACCATGGAATCCACTAGTGTTTTTTTAATATGCGTGTGAACACTCATCCCCTAAAAACCATAAATGAAACTATGTATGTTTTGCATCCGTTTTCCCCACCATTAAAATGTTAGGGCTGCTTTTAAATAGTTTTTTAAAAAAATTTTTAATGTATTGGTCCAAAACAAAAGTACATATAGTCAATGGTTTTCCCAGTTGCAATGTATGGCCGTGAAAGTTGGACCATAAGAAAGGCCGAGCGCCAAAGAATGGAGGCCTTTGAACTCTGGTGCTGGAGAAGACTCCTGTGAGTCCCCTGGACTGCAAGGCGATCAAACCGGTCAGTCTTAGAGGAGATCAACCCCGACTGCTCTTTAGAAGGCCAGATCCTAAAGTTGAAACTCAAGTACTTTGGCCACCTAATGAGAAGGAAGGACTGACTGGAGAAGAGCCTAACGCTGGGAAAGATGGAGGGCAAGAGAAGAAGGGGGCGCTGGAGAATGAGGTGGCTGGATGGAGTCCCTGAAGCAGGAGGCATGAGCTTCAATGGACTCCAGAAGATGATAGAGAACAGGAAGGCCTGGAGGAACGTTGTTCATGGGGTCACGACGGGTCGGACACGACTTCGCAACTAACAACAACATCGATACAGAAACTCGGTTCGAACCTTGATGCACAGGTAATCCTCGACTTGTGACCATTTGTTTAGTGACTGTTCGAAGTTACAACGGCACGGGGGGAAAATGAGTTATGACCATTTTTAAACACTTTAAGACCACTGCAGCCTCCCCATCGTGCTCACGGGATCAAAATTCAGAAGCTTGGCAACTGGCCCCATATTTATGACAGTCGCAGAGTCCCGGGGTCACCTGATCAATCCCCTTTTGCGACGCTCGGACAAGTCAATGGGGGTGTCAAGGTAATGATTTAAAAGCTAACCAGCTAATGTAAGATGGGAATGTAACAGCAGGGTCTGTGTCTCTTTAAGAGGAAGCAGGGTCTGTATCTCTTTAAGAGCTTTGTATAAAAGGGAAGGTGCTGCAGATGTGTACTCTCTCTTCCATTTACTGCTGTAACTGCTGTGTGTTGGAGCCTGCTGTATTAACACATGTATGTATATTGTTCCTGGTGTGTGATATTGTAGACAGTGTAAGATAAACCACCATTTAATATAGACCAGTTTGTGTTTACTCCTGGGTTATCTCAGCGCAATAAGACTGTGCACGCTCTGACAGGGGGAGCCAGAGTCACACCATGACTGTGTTCCTGACTTAAGAACTGCAGTGATTTACGTAACCGCTGTGGCAAGAAAGGTCGTAAAATGGGGCAGAACTCACTTCACCAATGTCTCGCTTAGCAACAGAAATGTTCAGCTCGATTGCGGTTGTAAGTCGAGGTCTTACCTATACTGTAGGTCGGAATCCATGCAGAGTTTCACTCATGTTGATAATTCACATGGTAACAAACTCTTCCGCTCCTTGCCTCCTTAATAACGTTTCAGGATCCCTCACCACCCTCAAATACTTAGTACACAAAAATAATTTAACTTTAACTGACCATACTACAGAGAATAAAAACAAGAAGGACTCAATAGGCAGGCGAAAATTGCACATCCAGTCTGAACTGTGATAACGTCCACATCTCTTGGATGGTCGCATCAAACTTGGGATCAATATTTGATCCCTTTCAGCCGGCCTTTTCAAAGGAAATGAACCCTTAATTAGTGAGACCCGTCTTCTGCTCTTCTAGTGGTTAAAGCATCAGGCCAGAAAGCAAAAGATCACGAGTTCAAGTCCGGCTTTAGCCATGAAACCAGCTGGGTGACTTTGGGCCAATCAGGAGATGACACAGAGTTCTAGTCCTGCCTTAGGCCTGAAAGACAACTGGGTGACTTTGGGCCAATCACCAGGAGACGGTGAGTTCTAGTCCCATTTTAGCTTGATAATGAAACGCCTGCAAGAAAAGCACCAAGCTCAGACAGCACCAAGGACCCCACAGTCCTCCTCCTTTTCCTGTCTGCTTGTCACTCCTTTCTAGCACTGATGATGTTACCTAGTTGGATAATAAAATGTCTGGAAGCAAACAACTGAACTCAGAGAGCACTAAGGACCCATAGTCCTTCCTTCCCTCCCTCCCTCCCCATAAATTCCACTCCTTTCTAGCACTGATGATGTTACCTAGTTGGGTAATAAAATGTCCGGAAGCAAAGAACCGAACTCAGAGAGCACCAAGGACCCTATAGTCCTTCCTTCCTTCCTTCCTTCCTTCCTTCCTTCCTTCCTCCCTCCCTCCCTCCCTCCCTCCCTCCCTCCCTCCCCATAAATTCCATTCCTTTCTAGCATTGATGATGTTACTAGTTTGGGTAATGAAATGTCTGCAAAAAACCCCCACCAAGCTCAGGCAGCACCAAGGACCCCAGAATCCTTCTCCTCCTCCTCCTCCCTGCAAACCCCATTCCCTTCTAGCACTGATGATGTTACCTAGTTGGGTAATAAAATGTCTGCAAGCAAAGGACCAAACTCAGAGAGCACCAAGGACCCCTACAAAATACAGGTAGTCCTTGACTTACAATAGTTCATTTAGCGACTCTTCAAACACCACTGAAAAGAGAGACTTATGACCGTTTTTCACACTTAACAACCTTTGCGGTATCCCCAGAGCCACTTGATCGAAACTCAAGACGCTTGGCAACTGAGTCCTATTTATGACGGTTGTCGCGTCCCCAGGATCATGCGATCCCCTTTTGCGACCTTCTGACTAGCCAATGGGAAAGCCAGATTCACTTAACAACGGCGTGGCTAACTTAACAAGTGCAGAGCTTCACTTAACGAACGGGGCAAGGGAGGAGGTAAAAATGGGGTAAAATCCACTTAGCCGACGTCTCACTTAGCGACAGAAACGTTGGGCTGGGACCAAGAGATGTGGTCGTTAAGTCGAGGGTTACTTGTTAATATGGGCTTTGCAGGATCAGGCCCACTCACCTTCCTACCAACCCAAATAGGTGAAAAAAAGCATCTTTCATCACAAGGATCACACACACACACAGCTAGCCAGTCTAACAACTCAGGACTTCATCCCAGATTGCAGGGCTGTGTGCAACCTTGACAACTTTTCAGACTTGTGGACTTCGGCTCCCAGAATCCCTCAGCCAGCATAGCTGGCTGAGGAATTCTGGGAGCTGAAGTCCACAAGCCTTAAAAGTTGTCAAGGTTGCAGAACCCCTGTCCCAAAGGACAGCGCAGAAGACAGCCAAAGACACCACAATACCAATAAGGCTTCACCTCAAGGGGCGGGGGGGGGGCTCTAGACATCGCCTTTCCACAAAGGGAAGCAAGCAGAGATGGAACCCCGGCTTGGCAACCCCGCCTGGCAGCCCCCATTTCCCACCCCCCACCCCAAATCTCATCCCACCCATCTCCATCAACTGCTGGCTGATCCCTGGGAAAGCAGGCTGCAAGCCAAGGATTGGGGAGCGCAGGTGGGGGACAGGGAACCCCAGAGCAGCTTCAGGGCAGGGGAGGGGAGAGAGAGAGTGAGAGTGAGAGAGGGGGGGGATTTCCCCCCTCCCCATTTTTCTTTCCGGCCTCAAGAGACAGCCTCGCCTTTCTTCCTTCTTTCTTTCCCCCCTCCCCTCCCCTCCCCTCCCTTCCCCTCCCCTCCCCTCCGCCTTCCATCCCAAGGGGACCCTCCAGAGCCTTTTTCCAAGGCGAAAGAGGGGCGGGGCACCTCTCTCCGCCCCCCACCCACCCACCCACCCCTCCCACTGCAGGGTTCCCACGCGGCACAAAGCGGGGTCTTGTTTAGCTCCAAGCAGGTACGGATCGCTCTATTTTTTTTTCTTTTTTTTCCTTTTTTCTTTTCGCAAGCCAGAGGCCGGTGGGCGTTGCTGCCCACCCCTCTCCTCCCCTCCCTTCCCTTCCCCACGCCTCGCAACAATGCCTCCCGTGCAAGGGATGAAGAAGAAAGGGATGCTCCTGCTAAGAGCAAAGGAGCCGCAGCAGCCTGGTGGGAAGGGATGGGGGGTCTTCAAGGCAAGTCTGGCTGGGGGGGGGGGAGGAAGGAGGATGGGGGGGACGCGAGGGGAGAAAGGTGCAGACCTGGCCTCGGGCGGAGGAGCTGCGCTGCTCGGAGGAGGAGGAGGAAGAGGAGGAGGCCGCCGTGAGGACAGCTGAGCATCTTCCGCGCCCGCCGCGAGCGCTCTGCCCTGCGCCGCGCGAGAGCCGGCGGGTTCCCACGAGCGGGAGGAGGAGGAGGGGGAGAGGTAGGGGGCGGCGCCGCCGGCCTGGCTCCACCCACCTCTTCCACCCGCCCCCCACTCACTCCCACTCGCCCCCCCCCACTCACTCCAGCTAGGGTAGCCCACCCCTCACTCCCAGCCTGACTAGTCTGGGAAGAGCACATTCATACACGCGCACACACAGACACACCCGTGGTTACTCAGTCCCGGGGTCCCTTCCCAAGGGTCGCATTCCCGCGACCCGTCTTCCTTCACGCGCCGGTGCGAGACACAGCGCTGCCAAGTTGGCCTTGGCCGTCCAGCCTCCGGGGCTCGCGTTCCCACGACCCTCCTTGGCTCTTTCTCCCACCCCCCAGGAATTAAAAGAATGGGGAGGATCCGCGTTGGAAACGGTCCACTAAACGTGTCCCCCCGTGGGAGGGGGGGCGTTGGCCGGTGGGGGCGCCATTCAAGCCAAGCTGGTTCCTGGCATCCAGGGAGGCTTCTTCACACGAACACGCCCACCCGACCTCCCGGCTTAAAGCGAAGCGGGGAGGGGGTGGGCTGCTCCCGTCGGGCCGGGCAAGAAGGCAGAGGTGCGAAGGGTGCAGCTCGGCTTGCAAAGCGGCGACAGCCGGGGTTCTTGTGTTTTACAGGGGGCATGAGAGGGGGTAAAATAGGGGCAAATAGAGCTGGCCAGGGCTGGGCCCGTCTGAGAAGGGATTTCCCCTGCAGCACGGGCTAGACGAATGGAAGAGATCAATAGCCCAGGGCGGGACTTCGGTTATTTACAGAAAAAGCACTTCGCACGGCGCAACCGCTGAGCTAAGCAAGCTTGCCCAGGCATTTCTGGGGGTGCCCCCCCCCTCAACCCACCGCCCTGGCATTTGAAAGTTGGAACTGCAAGCCACAACGCCGTGGCCTTCCCTTGATTGCCTTCTCTTTTTTAAAAAAAAGAAAAAAAATTAAAATGCAAGTTTTGCTGATCCCTGCAAAGGCGCAAAGCCATTCGACCAAGAAAGGGGGGGGGGGGGAAGAGGAGAGGAGGGGGCAGCGAGCAAAAGAAGGAAGAGCCGGAGAGAGAGAGAGAGAGAGAGAGAGAGCGCGAACGCTGCCGGAGGGAGGGGAGGAAAGCAAGCGGAACGGCGGCGTCTCTATAGCGACTGGGAAAAAGCGAGCTAATCGGCGCGGCGCGCGGAACACAAAGGGGCGGGGCAGGAGGAGGAGGAGGAGAGTCGATTCGGCGTAGGGCGCATGCGCGCGCGGAGGAGGCGCGGCGAGCCAATCGGGGCGCTGCTTCTTGAATGGTGGGTGGCGGCGCCCGGAAGCAGCTGCTGGGTGGAGGTTGAGGGTGCTGCTCGAGCCGCTGACGGTGAGTTGGGGGAGCCGCCGCTCCGGGCCCGGGGGGCGCTGGACCGGAAGCGGGGCGCCTGAGGGTCTGGGGGAGACGCCGCGGGGCCTGACGGGAGCGACGGTTATCTTTGGGCCGGGGGATGGTTCGGGCACTGACCGTGGACTTCAAGTCCCATCGGCCCCCGCCTGTAACTCCCTGAGAAGGGATTGTGGGAGTTGTAGTCCGGGAAGTCTAAATACGCCGCGGCATCTCTTTAGCTGGGGATGATGGGTTTGAAGGCATGGATCTTCGCTGTGGGGGCAGGGAGACCGGGGTTTAAGTCTCCCCTCAGCCCTGGGGACTTTGGACCCCTTCCTCTATCGGCTCGGTCTACTTCTCAGGGTTGTTGTGTGGCCGCTGTCACATTTGTATAGGTAGTCCTCGATTTACATCCATTCGTTTAGTGGCCATTTGAACTTACAACGGCACTGAAAAGAGTGACTTTCACACAACTATTGCAGCATCTCTATGGTCACGTGATCAAAATTCAGACGCTTGGCAACTGACTCATATTTATGACAGTTGCAGTGTCCCTGGGTCACATGATCCCTTTTGCAGCCTTCTAACAAGCGAAGCCAATGGGGGAAGCCAGCTTCTCTTAACAACCCTGTTACTAACCTAACAACTGCGGCAAAAAAGGTCGTGAAATGGGGCAAAACTCACTTAACAACTGTCTCACCTAACAATTGTGGTCGTACGTCAAGGACTGCGTGGATGAAAGCTGTTGTCTGGCAGTCCAGGGGTGAGACTAGATGCTCTCCAAGTTCCCATTGTTCTGGGGTCACGTGATCCCCTTTTGCGACCTTCTGACCAGCAAAGTCAATGGGGAAGCCAGATTCACTTAACAACTTATTGCTAACATAATTGCAGGGATTCATTTAACAACTGTGGCCAGAAAGTTCTTAAAAGGGGGCAAAACTCCCTTAACTGTCTTTCTTAGCAATGGGCTCAATTGTGGCCGTAGATTGAGGACTACCTGTATCGCTGCCCATCTCACATACAATGGTGATGCTGGACGTATGCATAATAAAACAATCCAAGGCATAAGAGCCACCGAAAGCAAGCTGTGTACATTCAAAAGATAAACATAGAGTTTAAAAACAAAATAGCTCTAGACTAGACCCAGAAAATGGGGTAATATAGTAATTGGGTTAAATGTGAGTTTGTGGGTTTTCTGAGCCAGGCCAAGTTGCGAAAAAAAGCATTTTTCCTTTTGTCCTATTTTATTGATATATAGAGGGCAAATGTCCTGGCTTTCTCTGAAATGCACTTTTTTGTTCTCATATCATAGATTTTCTTCCAAGGAGTCAGTGCAGGCTGCTTTTATCCTGCCTCCATAATGGCTTTGGAAATAAAGTTGGGCTGAGGGGTGGTTTGGCTTGGACGTTTGCATTCACATTAGAGTGAATTTAGCTTAGGATAGCTGGTTTAAAATACTTGACAAGTGACTAAACCAGGGGTCTTCAAACCTAGTCCTTTTATGACTTGTGGACATCAGGCACGCTGGCTGAGGAATTCTGGGAATTGAAGTCCACAATTCATAAAAGGGCCAAGTTTGAAGGCCCCTGGACTAAACCATGTGTTTTAGCCTCTTTAAGAGACCATTATTTAAAGACATGATGGCTTTACAGACTGTATGGGTCAGTATATTGTGCAAACCCAGATGCGTGGGTTAATTATTGACTCAGGCCATGAATGTGGTTAGCCTAATTGTTGATACTGCAGAGTCCTTGATGCTGTCTGATTTTGATTGGTTGTAGACATAGTATATTTTAAATGTGTATTGTGTAAGTAAGTAACGCTTGAAAGCAAGCAACTAAAATTTCATTTCTAACGTGTGCCGTTGTGCCCACAGGAAAAAAATGACAGTAAAGGTTATCTAATCACCTGCCAGCTATTCATGCCATCCGGTGGCCAGTAGACTGTGGGCCAAGGCCCACAGGTTGGTCTAGGGAATAGTCAGATAAGAGATAGCATAGCCTGCTGCTGCATAATGGGTGGAGAAAGAGACTCAGAAGGAAGACTCCCTCTTTCTTGCAAGATTGATATCAGCCTTACCAGATAAACCAGACAGGAAATGCTAGCAGACGTACTAACTCTACTTTAGCCTAAGGCTACTTTGACAAAATCTTGCAAATCTGAAACCTTTCACTACTACAGGAACGAAAAGAAGAGGTGCTTTTGGTTGCAGAGCAGGACAATTCTGAAGGCCTTTTGTTTGTTGTTTGAGATAACGAAAAGGGTCCATACACCTTGTAAATGAGGAATCAGATTTACCGCTGGGTTTCGGGGTCATTTCCAAGCAACTGGTAAGGAGCAGGAAAGGTTCTCATTAGATATAGATCAGTGGTTCTCAACCTTTTTAATGCCGCGACCCCCAACCGGTCGTAAGTCAAGGACTACTCAGCCGGTCGTAAGTCGAGGACTACTCAACTGGTGCAGCACCGTTTGCAGAATGGGACTTTTGGCGGGCTCAGCAGGGCAGAGACAGCCTGGACAATTCCTACTGGCTTTTGAAAGCCAATAGAATTAGACTCTATTCAAGAGAGTCTATTCTATTGGCTTTCAAAAGCCAATAGAATAAAAGGGAGCAGCACAGCTAAGGAAAAGGGGGAAAAAATGGCGGACTGCGTTGTTTGGCGGCCCCCGTGAAATGGTCGTTCGACCCCAAATGGGGTCCCGACCCACAGGTGGAGAACCACTGATATAGATAGTGCTCAATTTACGACTGCGACGGAGCCCAAAATTTCTGCTGCTCAGTGAGACAGATGTTAATTGAGTTTTGCCCCATTTCATGACCTTTCTTGCCACCATTATTAAGCAAACCATTGCAGTTGTGCTTCCCCATTTGACTTTGCTTGTCTGAAGGTCCAAAAGCAGATCACGTGAACCTGGGACACTGCAACTGTCATAAATACGAGTCAGTTGCCAAGCTACTGAATTTTGTGCATGTGACCATAGATAACCTTTATTGTCATTTTTTTTACTGTGGGCACAATGAAATTTAGTTGCCCGCTCTCAAAATGAAACACATACATGACACACACCTAAACATACTATATAGGGATGCTCCAATGGTCCTAAGCGTGAAAAACAGCTATAAGTCAAAAAAAAATTTCAATGCCATTGTAACTTTGAACAGTCCTTCACAAGGACTATCTGTAATTGAGAAGCTTCAGCTAGCTGGTATAAGCTGTTCTGAGTTTCATGCACCCTTGTTACTGTGTTCCACTGCCTACTTCTTTGGGAATAAATCCAACTGTGTTCAGGACAGCTCACTCTTGGACCAATTGGCAGAAAATTTTATTATGACCGCGGAGTCCTATTCTGAGTTACAGTTATTTAAATTCTGGACCCGATTCCACCCTTTTTAAAATATCACTACTAAATAAATGATTTCAGAAAACAGACGCAGATGTCTGTTCATTACCGCTTTCTCCATATGGAACATACGTAATCTTTAGTTGAAACACATCAAGGCAACTGTGGCAATTTTCCCAAAGTAATTTTTGGCTACATCAGGAAGATCATCTGTTTTTTGTTTGTTTGTTTTGCATTTTTTTCCCTAGTAGGGAAACTTAAGGATGTATTAAAGCAGTGGTTCCCAGCCTGTGGGTCGGGACCCCATTTGGGGTCGAACGACAATTTCACAGGGGTTGCCAAACAACACATTTTTTCTCCCCTTTTCCTTAGCTGTGCTACTCCCTTTTATTCTATTGGCTTTTGAAAGCCAATAGAATAGACTCTCTTGAATAGAGTCTAATTCTATTGGCTTTCAAAAGCCAATAGGAATTGTCCAGGCTGTCTCTGCCCTGCTGAGCCCGCCAAAAGTCCCATTCTGCAAACGGTGCTGCACCAGTTGAGTAGTCCTCGACTTACGACCGGTTGGGGGTCGCGGCATTAAAAAGGTTGAGAACCACTGTATTAAAGACTAATTGCTTTTCCTCAGCAGACCTGGGTAGTAAGTAAACTTGCAACTAGGAATTTTATTCTGTCTTTTGGATGGGACCAAACCAGCTATAATTAGATGTATAAAAATAAATGTGTGGGTTTTGTGGCATCTTAAGAAATTCATTATTGTGTAGGCTATTTTCAATTTCCTTAGACACAAAAAAGCAAAACAATTCTAAGTCCACTCTGACCTAGAATTATGAGGCTATAAGAGGAATAGGAAATTGATATTAAAGATCTAAGTTAAATCTAGTTTCTAGTTTTAGAACTTTGTAAGATTCTAATCAAGGAGATTGAACTAGTCTTTCACATGTCAATGAAAGAGGATTCTTGGTTTTTTTAATGATAATATATGGAGATTTTCTGATGAGATAGTATAATACGGTTCATAAAAAAAGAAATAATCTTTTCATCTCAGTTGAGTGGAATTGATACTCAAGTGCACGGTTAAACCTATTTTAATGAAATGTGTGTATATCTTCCAAAAATATTATTTGGATTGATTCATATTTCTTAACTAGTATTCTAAATAATTCTTGCATTTTTAAATTCGACCCATATTTGAAAGCCAAGGACATTCACATTTTTCCTAAGTGGGGAAAAATCTAAAGAAAAAAACAGAACAGGCAACCTATAATAAAAGTTGCCTATCCAGAATGTGGTAGGTTAAACAATAGTTGGGTTGACCTCACCATAAACCATGATCTTTGAACATTTTTCTGAGGTACAATTGTCTGAATTCACATTGTGCTGAGTCATAAACCATGATTTACAAATCACAGTGGCTGGATTCATACCATGTTTAAGCTATTATATGCCTTATCTACTTTTGTTTCTTCATGATTTGTAAAGAGAAAGGACTAGAAATTTATATGGGCTATAAAAGTAATAAATAATAAAGTAATTCTGGCTTGTGTCAAAGTTTATATGGCTCGAACAGTGAAATAAACATCAATAGTCCAAAGGCTTTGAAAATGATAGCTCCTGTATATGTTTTAGAAAGTATTCTTAGTCACCAGAACAGGAAATAAGAAATTAACATTGTCGAATAGTTGCTTTATAAATGGATGCATTTTTTATCCAGTAAATTGCAAGCTAGCATAGTTCCCCCATGCTGGCTCAGGAATTCTGGGAATTGAAGTCCACGAGTCATGAGGGGGGCCATAGTTCCCCCATGTTGGCTCAGGAATTCTGGGAGTTGAAGTCCACGAGTCATGAGGGGGCCATATTTCCCCCATGCTGGCTCAGGAATTCTGGGAGATGAAGTCCACGAGTCATAAAAGAGCCAAGGTTGCCTACAGCAACAAGTGTGGCTCGAACAATTCTATACTGTACAGGTAAAATACAGGTAGTGCTCAACTTACAACAATTCATTTAGTGTCTGTTCAAAGTTACAGCTGCACTGAAAAAAGTGACTTCTAACTCTTTTTCGCACTCCCGTGATCAAAATTTGGATGCTTGGCGACTGACTCGTGTTTATGACGGCTTCAGTGTCCTGGGGTCATGCGACCCCCTTTTGCAACCTTCTGACAAGTAAATGTCAATGGGGGAAGACAGGTTCACTTAAGAAACGTTTTCCTAATTTAACCACTGCAGTGATTCACTTAACAACTGTGGCAAGAAAGGTCGTAAACTGGGGCAAAACCCATTTAACAACTGACTTGCTTAGCAGTCGAAATGTTGGGCTCCGTTGTGGTTATAAGTCAAGGACTGCCTGCATCATATTTCTGACCATGATTTAATCCCAGGAAAGCTCTGGAGGGGCATAAAAATATTAAGAAGAAGAAGAAAAAGTAGCATGGTCAATTTGGAAAAAAAGAATCCTGCATTTCAGTTTTTCTATTCAAATCTACAAAGAGAATTGAAGTCCACTTACATCCATGTTGGCCATAAAAATGGACAATACGAACGGCACCTCTTGTGCCCATTAAAATAAAAGCTTGTACATCTAGATTCGTCGCATGATGAGGAACGTGGAGACCTCTCCTGAGTGATGTCACCACGTGATCTTTTAAATTACGGGATGCTTTTCAGGGAGACATCTAAGGCTAACAAGACGTGTGTCTCAAGACTTTTAGGGGGAAGCAATGTTCCTAAATGTTTCTCAACCTTGGCAACCTGAAGATGGGTGGACTTCAACTTCCAGAATTCCCCAGCCAGGGAATTCTGGGAGTTGAAGTCCACCCATCTTTAACAGCCACGTCTGAGAAACATGCCCTGGTTTGATCCCATTGGTAAAAACACTTGTGGTTTAAAAATCAAAGCCCGCTGCATTTTTATGAAATCTTAACCGTGCTGTTTTCTATTCAAATAGATTTCTAAGTGAGCATTTTGCATTGGTTAGACAACAAACTGGCAAATCAAGGCACTGAATAGATTTCAATTATTATAACAATGTTAAGCTGTCATGTTTTTAACAGATCTCTATAAAGCTAATCACTTAGAATAAATAAAATATGGAGCAAAGGGCGATAATAAGAAGCAGCGATGCGAGACAGACAAAATATTGGAAATGTCAGCCTTAATGTACCCATCACTCTTTGATTTATATCTCATTCTGGTCTGGTCTTTTCGTGGCTGCTCCTACGAGCATGTCATTAATAATAACTTCACCTTTAGAGCTTTGTATCATCTTTAAGAATTGCCATTGAGTTTAAAGGTGCTTTAAACAATGCCGGCTTCTAATCAATTCGCACTTGGGGCAAGTTTTTTTTTTCAAAAAAAAAGGCATTACTGTAGCTTCCCTGATTGTCACAGTAGATGGCAGCACCTGTCTGACCTCGGAAAATGATCACGGTTAATGTTTGGATGAGGGAGCTCTTGGGAATTGTATCAGAATTGTAAACTTGACAAAAAAAAAAACCCTCCATAAAGAAGGCAGTGGATACTCACTGTGAATCCATAGGGGTCTTTTAAACCCTTGGGATGCTCACGAAACTCAGTTTATCTTTCATCTCGAGACAAGTTGATGTTCCTCAACCAGCACTGGTGGAGAAGACAGGACGTAACTGGCTTAATTAACATTCAACAAGATTCTTTGGTGGGTTTGTCGGTTGGTTTGTCTCACTTAGCAACAGAGGTTTTGAGCTCAATTGTCGTAAATCAAGGACTACCTGTAATAGTAAAAGCTCTTATTACCCGCTGCTAGGCCTTGGGCACAGCTCCAGAGACCTACAAATCTGGTTAGCAAATGGATTTCTTTTTAAAGGCGATGGAAGGCCTGATTAATTTTATCTGCCTGATAAAATAAAATCATTGTTCTTTTTAATATCTAAGCAGAAACAGAAACACACACAGCTTTGGTGCTGGCTTTGGTGTTTTTGCAGCTAAGTGTGTCTCTCTAGCAACAGCAGAGCAATTAAATGTTATTTTTGGTACTGTTCCGAGCCAGGTGAAACACTGTGGAAAATGTGTCTTTTTTCCTCCCCTATATTTTCTCCTCTATATTTAAAATATAGAGTACCTTAAGAAGGACACCCTGAATCGCAGATCCTGAATGAGAAGCCGAGTCCCAGCGTGGGAGTGGGAAGCGATCCCTTTTTGTCAGTAGCTGTGCTGTTGGGCTCATAAACATAATTTAATTTGTTTTCAATAAAGCCGCTTGATCATCGCTCACTGGGGCAAGGTGAAGTCAATTATCCAGAGCAGCAAAGAGTTTGGCTATTGATTCGTTTCCCTCCCATCTCTGCATTCTGGAAAGCTCTCGAGGCAGGCAAGCTATTTCTGTTTGGCAGATGTAGTACGGGCTGATCGTTTCAGTTACTCACATCTTAATCCTTGTTTTCAGTGGGAAAGAGATGAAAGCACAAACCCTTGTTTGAATGCTAGGTACTCTTTCCAGTGGGCCAACGTGGAAAAAACTCAACAAGCCTTGCAGCGCTCCGATCGGCAAGGGACATGGGTCGCACCATCCACACGTGGCCAGAATCTTTAAACCTGGTTTTGGAAACGAGAGGAGACGGGTTTAGGTAGTCCTCCTAGTTGAGCCCAACATTTATGTGGCTGAGTGAATTTTGTCCCACTTTACAACTTTTCCTTGCCACGCTTGTTGAGAGAATCCCCGCGGTTGTTACGTAAGCAATACGGTTGTTAAGGGAATCTGCCTTCCCCATTGATTTAGCTCGTCAGAAAGTCAGAAAAGGGGATCACATGATCCCCCTGGGACACTGTAACCATCATAAAAACGGATGACCTGCCAAGCATGTGGATTTTGATCACCTGGCCAGGGGGATGCGGCAACGGTTGCAAGTGGGGAAAAACGGTCATAAGTCAGTTTGTTCAGCCATGTTGCAACTTTGAACGGTCGCTAAATGAACTGTTGTAAGTTGACTACCTGTGGTGTGTAATAAGATCACAAACCAGAATGAACTGAACCATTTCCAAGCCTGATCAGCTGTCCATGTTTCCTTTGCAGCAGGCACCTGGAAGAATGACATTTTGCTGACCACCTCTGCAAAGCCATTCACCTTTCCCCACCTGTAACCCATGTGCATTCTTTTCTTTAAGTTTGACCCGCGACCTGTGTCCAAAAATGCCTACAGGTAAGGTGCAATTCCGCTTGCTGTCTCTTTATCAATGTGTGAACTGGGATACAGCATGCCAAAAGTTGTAAGGGACACTTTCCCCCTTAAATTAGTTTAATTGTGACTTAATTTCTAATTCTATTTTCATTTTTCAACTAAAGCCCCACCCATTTGTAGGACAGAAAAAGTGGCTGGTGATTGGTTTTGCCATAATTTGCTAAATAAATCTTTGGCTGCAAGATCCCCGTATCCTAAATTGGATTACCTTATGCTATGCCATGAATTGCAGTCCTTTTAAGTCTTGACTCCACATAATTTAGATCAAGAGAAACTATGTAATGTACTGTATTTGTCTCCAAATGTTACAATGACACTTCAGAATGACAACTTCTGTAAAAACAGGCCCAGTTTGCTATTGTTTTGCCTAAATGTTTTATGCATAAGACACTTTTTTGAATTAAATGTTTCCATTTCAATAATATTTATGTATCCTCCAGTGTAAAACCCTTTATTATTTTTTCCTGTCTGCTTATACTATAGATACATTTTTCTTACAAGTCTGTGTGTTTGGTAGATAAGGATTGATCACAAATGCAAGTCTTTGCTTATAATACCTGGTAGAAATGTTTTTGTCAGCTGAGGTGTATGGAAGAATATCTTTGGAGTATGCTGTGTGGGTTGTTTTTTTTTTTTTTTTAAAAAAAAAAAGATGTCAGAAATATAATGAAGGATATAATGCCAGGCAATTGTGTAGGAATACTAGACAAGAAAGAAGTCAGAAAATGACAAATTGCTAAGTGAATATGCAGAATAGAAAATAATTCCAGCGAGGAGACGCTAGTATGTGGTAAACACCAAATGAGTTTCAATTGAAGTGTTAGACTAATACAAACATTTTCTGTTTTTCAAAATATGAATTAATAAGGTCTTTAAAGGAAATCCTTGGGTTGGTTTTTTTTGTTGTTGTTGGTTTTTTTTTGTAACCCAGCGCAAATGCATCAGGATTGGCATTGACTGTGAACCTTGGATAAAGGATTGTGTGTAAAAGACGAGAGGGAAAAAATGCACGTAGAGATAGAAAGCTTAACTCACGGTTTTTGTTCCATAAAACCAGCCTGTGACCGAGAACGTATTTGGTCCGTCATTCCTTTATCTGTTCAGCTGGGCGGATTTTTTAAGATCGACGCTCCTCAAAAGCTCCGGGTTCCATTTATCTGCAGCAAAATATGTAAAGCCCTCACTGGCTTAAGACCCAAAGCACCTTCTCTCTCCTACACTTGCCCGAGCATAAAGATCCAGCGGGAATAATGTTGTAAGAACTGTTTGCCAGGATTAGTTATGTAGCAGCTGGAGGGAGAGAGCACAGATATCCTTAACAGGCACCCCAATTACGAGGAGTCCTCGGCTTACGACTGCAGTCAGGACTAGGGTTTCTGTTGTTCAGCAAAGCGCCTATTAAATCAGTCAGGCCTGATTTTGCAATCTTTTTGGCCGCAGTTTTTAGGTGAATCCGTGCAGTCCTGTGTGTGTGTGTGTGTGTGTGTGTGTGTGTGTGTGTGTGTGTGTGTAGAGAGAGACAGAGAGATATAGATAAATAGATAGAGATAGAGAGATAGGGAGAGAGAGAGAGAGAGAGAGAAAGAAAGAAAGAGAGAGAGAGATCAGAGAACTTCAAACTTGGCCCTTTTATGTCTTGTGGACTTCAACTCCCAGAAATCCTCAGCCAGCATGCCTGGCTGTGGAATTCTGGGAGTTGAAGTCCACAAGTCATAAAAGGGCCAAGTCTGAAGACCCCTGAGATAGATAGATAGATAGATAGATAGATAGATAGATGGATGGATGGATGGATGGATGGATGGATGGATGGATGGATGGATGGATGGATGGATGGATCGATCGATCAAGGGTCTTCAAACTTAGCCCTTTGATGACTTGTGGACTTCCACTCCCAGAATTCCTCAGCCAGCATGCCTGGCTGAGGAATTCTGGGAGTTGAAGTCCACAAGTCATCAAAGGGCCAAGTTTGAAGACCCCTGAGATAGATAGATAGATAGATAGATAGATAGATAGATAGATAGATAGATAGATATAGAAAACCTTTATTGTCATTTTTTACTGTGGGCACCCATTAAAAATGGCACCCATTCAAAATGAAATTTAGTTGCTTGCTTTCAAAGTGTACACATACATAACACACATTTAAACATACTATATACAACATATGTATAGGCCTACACCCTTACATATAAGTGACATATAAATATTAATCACCGTCTACCTTGAATACATAATGGCATGATTCACTTAACAAAGCGAAAGATCGTAACGTGGGGCAAAACTCGCTTACCACAAGTCTCACTTAGTAACATAAATTTTGGGCTCAGTTGTGGTTGTAAGTGGAGAACGACCTATAATTAGGCCTCATCCGGTGCAGGCCGTGTTCCTTCCTCTGTAGCGGTCTATATTTTTCATGCTGTAAATAAACGTCCCTCATTTAAGTGTGTGCCCGCTTTGCACAAACCTTCATAAATCCAATTTTGGTTATACAAATCGCTGCTGTTTGTAAATATAGGTTTTACGTTTCGGAGCTATAATCTCGTAATCTTTTTTTATGGGGCTGAATTATATCGCAGGAAATTGCTTCAGCAGTACGGATTCGTGAGTTTCCATCTACACACACACACACACACACACACACACACACACAGCCAGAAGTTACACAAATCTTCCTGCAGGAGAGGCTGTCCAGCTTGTTTGTATAAATTACTTCCAGGATCTCATTTTTGCCGTGGCTGATATTTTGGTGAGGCTGCCTTAAAAGACGGGTGTTTTTCCCCCCCATCGGTTTGTCTAAACCTGAAGGCAAGTTGCCTAATTTGAATAAGTGGCCTGATTAACCCACAAAACAAAGTCAAGACGTGTTTGTGCCTTTCCTGGCACAACAAACCGTGATTCACATATAACGCTCAGCCATTATTTGTTAATCAGGCAATTTAGTGGCGGGGCACAGCTCCAGTACATCCCCACACAGTAGTGATTTTGCTGGCATGAATGGATTCTAGCTCATTGTTTTGCCCAGTTAGGTCTGCTCTGACTTGGTAATGCCTCTTTTTTTTTTCCCTTATTTTTCCTATTTTTTTTTAGCCAAGAATTGAAATGGGAATAGAACTAGCTTTAATTTCAGATAGTAAATCACTACAGGTCGTGCTCGACTTACAAGGGTTCCTTTAGTGACTATTCAGAGGTAACAATGGCGTTGAAAAAAGCACTTAATAAAGGAGAATATTTGTAGCTCAGGGCTGACATGAGGGGCTCCTTGGTGCTCTCTGAGCTTGCTTGTTGTGTGACCTTTGACTGTTTCTCACACACAACCGTCGCAGTATCAGCATTCGGCCGCTTGGCAAGTGACTCGTATTTATGACGGTTGCAGTGTCCTGGTTGCTACACGATCCCCTTTGGCGGCCTTCTGACCAGCCAAGTAAATGGGGGAAGCCTGGTTCACTTAACCAACGGGTTACTCGTTTAACAACTGCAGGGATTTGTTTAACGACTGTGGCAAGAATGGCTGTGAAAGGGGGCAAAACGTTCTCAGCCACTGCCTCTCTTAGGAACAGAAATGTGGGGCTCAAACGTCGTAAGTCGAGGACTAATCGTATTGGGAAGCCTAGCTGTTTTACTCCGTGCATCTGTACCTTAAAGTAGTTTATCCACAGGCACAAAATGTTTGCTTGGGCTTATCTTGTTTCTGTGCCTTGCTGAAACCTCTAGCCAGTCCACTGAAAATGCGTAAAGCAACGGCAGCTGAATAAGAAGGAAATAAATAAAACTTGGACTTACCAAAGGTTTGTTTAGCAAGCCCTGGGACAGGGGTAGGCAACCTTGGCTCTTTTATGACTCGTGGACTTCAACTCCCAGAGTTCCTGAGCCAGCATGGGGGAAACTTTGGCCCCCTCATGACTCGTGGACTTCAACTCCCAGAGTTCCTGAGCCAGCATGGGGGAAACTTTGGCCCCCTCATGACTCGTGGACTTCAACTCCCAGAGTTCCTGAGCCAGCATGGGGGAAACTTTGGCCCCCTCATGACTCGTGGACTTCAACTCCCAGAATTCCTGAGCCAGCATGGGGGAACTATGGCCTCCTCATGACTCGTGGACTTCAACTCCCAGAATTCCTGAGCCAGCCACGCTGAGGGGAAAGGGAGAGGTTTCCAAGCTGAGCTGGCTCAGGAATTCTGGGAGTTGAAGTCCTCGAGTCATAAAAGTGCCAATGTTGCCTGGGTTAGAGTGATGGAAATTAAAACGTTGGTCTCCTAGGCCAGGGGTAGGCAACCTTGGCTCTTTTATGATTCGTGGACTTCAACTCCCAGAATTCCTGAGCCAGCCACGCTGAGGGGAAAGGGAGAGGTTTCCAAGCTGAGCTATGGTGGCTCAGGAATTCTGGGAGTTGAAGTCCACAAGTCATGAAGGGGCCAAAGTTTCCCTCATGCTGGCTCAGGAATTTTGGGAGTTGAAGTCCACAAGTCACGAAGGGGCCAAAGTTTCCCTCATGCTGGCTCAGGAATTCTGGGAGTTGAAGTCCACGAGTCATAAAAGAGCCAAGGTTGCCTACCCCTGCCCTAAGTAAACAATACTTTTACACGAGGTGAACTCATCCCATTTATTTCCATCCTGACTGAAAGCACAATATTTCGAACCCAGAGTCCTCTTTTGAGACTGGAGATTGCCTTGCTGAGATAAGCCAGCTCCCAGAAACCATAGTTTATTCAAACCAGGAAGGGAGCAAACCAGCAACATGCCAGGCAAACGCTAGGCAAACCTTCAGCCTGGTCCTTCAAACCAAACTGGCATTGTAGTGGTCCGCCCCTCTTTTTGTTCTTCTTTGTGAGTCTTTGTGTTCTTGCCTCCGTGGACTAAATAGAGCTGACGCACGTAGGTCCTTTCCAAACTGCGCATCCTTCGGTGGGTATATTTCAACAGAGTACAAATAAAAATAAACCAAATATGATTAGGTGCCTCCTGGGAGCACACCCCTGAAGGATGCTGTGTGTTTACGGTACAGAGCTGGAAAGGAATCAAAAAATGTGTGTGGGCCTGCTTAAAGACGAGCAAGCTGGTTGTCGACAGCCGTGGTGTGTTGGCATTAATTAACTCAGCTTGGCTGTGTGGGTGTTGCCCAAATTTTCGCAAGGATTTTTTCTGATGTTTCCCGGCAAAGCTGTAATTTCACGATAGAACACACATGAGGTCACAGATTCAACCTCTTGGATCTTCAAATAAGACTAAGAGAAATCCGTTTAATTGGCTCCTTTCCCCCCCCCCCCGGCAGCATGTCTGGGGTGAAAGATCAAACGTAGGGCAGATCTTGAATCCAGGATCTGGGTGTTGGCCACACAAGCAGGAATCCAGGTTAAAATTGTAATCGTCAGTCGAGAACTAACGGTGGCCAGCCTGGAGCTCACGTTCTGCATGTTTAATTCAGTTTTTATAGCTGCCCGACCCGATTAAGTGACTCTTAGGCAGCGTACAATTCTAAAATTGTAGAACGATTAAAACAATTTAGAAAGCATTAAAACAATTTTTTTTAAAAAAAAATCCACAAAATATGACATGTTGAATCCAGGTGCACCGTATCGTAGCTCAGGAACCTCGTAGACTTTTGGGGTAATATGACAAAAAGTTGTTGAAATATAAATAGTAAGAAGGAGAGGGAAAAAACATTTGTTGGAATATATTCAGAATTCTCCAACATGCTCCTTGTCTAATTTTATCTGTAAACTCTTTGAGGCAGGGATATTCTGCCCCCTTCCTTCCTTCCTTCCTTCCTTCCTTCCTTCCTTCCTTCCTTCCTTCCTTCCTTCCTTCCTCCCTCCCTCCCTCCCTCCCTTCTTTCTTTCTTTCTTTCTCTCTCTCTCTCCTTCCTTCCTCCCTCCCTCCCTCCTTCCTTCCTTTCTTTCTTTCTTTCTTTCTTTCTTTCTTTCTTTCTTTCTCTCTCTCTCTCTCTCCCTCTCCTTCCTTCCTCCCTCCCTATCTTCCTCCCTCCCTCCTTCCTTTCTTTCTTTCTCTCTCTCTCTCTCCCTCTCTCCTTCCTTCCTCCCTCCCTATCTCCCTCTTTCTTTCTTTCTTTCTTTCTTTCTTTCTTTCTCTCTCTCTCTCTCTCCCTCTCCTTCCTTCCTCCCTCCCTATCTTCCTCCCTCCCTCCTTCCTTTCTTTCTTTCTCTCTCTCTCTCTCCCTCTCTCCTTCCTTCCTCCCTCCCTATCTCCCTCTTTCTTTCTTTCTTTCTTTCTTTCTTTCTTTCTTTCTTTCTTTCTTTCTCTCTCTCTCTCTCTCTCTCTCCTTTTCTCCTCCCTCCCTCCCTCCTTCTTTCTTTCTCTCTCTCTCTCTCCCTTTCCCCTCCCTCCCTCCCTCCTTTCTTTCTTTCTTTCTTTCTTTCTTTCTTTCTTTCTTTCTTTCTTTCTTTCTTTCTTTCTTTCTTTCTTTCTCTATTCATTTCATGCGTTAAATAAACCAACCCAGAGTGGAGAACGAGTATTACACCTTATTCAACCAACCATAGTTAAATGGTTGCTTAGGATGATGTGTAACATCAGCTTCTCTTTTTTTCTTGTTGTATCTTATGCTGAAGTAAACAACAACAAAAAAATCCTGTCCTTTTTCAGTGCAATCACGGATTTTCTGTTCTTTCCCTACAGGCTTATCCTAGCAGCTAACAGAGATGAATATTACCACAGGCCCTCAAAATGTGCCGATTTTTGGGACAGTAGCAGTGAGATTCTCAGTGGTATGTAGAGGGCTCTTTGGGCATGTGCTGAAGCCAAGCCATCCTGACTGGTCACTTAATGGCCCTTCCAATTATTAACAGACTCGAAAAAAGTTATTTACAAGCTGTCCTCGGAGTTACGACTGTTGGGCTATTTCTGCAGTCACACGAATGCATTTGGAGCGCTTGGCAACTGGCAGGTTGCAGCATGTTACGGTCATGTGATCACATTTGGGAATTTTTAAAAAAATATTTTTTGCTATTCTGGAGTTTCCCCCGAAAAAAAAGGTAAAAAAAAATGCCCTTCTGGTAAACTAGATTCGGACTTATGGCCACCTGATTCACTCAACAACCGTGGGGACTTGCTTCACTCACTGTCTCCTAGTGATTGGCCCAAAGTCACCCAGTTGACTTTTGTACCTAAGGTGGACTAGAATTCCCCTGTGTCTCCTTGGCCCAAAGTCACCCAGGCAGCTTTCATGCCTAAGGCAGGACTAGAATTTGTCAGTCTCCTTGTGACCCTTTTAGAAGCATTTCTGTGAATTTGGCCTTTGTCAAAAATAGACTGTGGCTGCTCCAGCTTCCTTGAGCCATTAGCTTCCTGTGAGAAATGTTGAAGGAGTTCCTTAGTCTGTTGTCTCTGTCTCTATCTCTACCTCTCTATCTCTCTCTATCTCTACCTCTCTCTCTCTTTATCTCTACCTACCTCTCTCTCTCTCTCTCTCTCTCTTTATCTCTACCTACCTCTCTCTATCTCTCTTTATCTCTACATATCTACCTCTCTCTACCTCTCTTTATCACTACATATCTACCTCTCTCTACCTCTCTTTATCTCTACCTCTCTCTATCTCTCTTTATCACTACATATCTACCTCTCTCTACCTCTCTTTACCTAGCTACCTCTCCCTATCTCTCTTTATGTCTACCTATCTACCTTACTCTCTCTATCTCTACCTATATCTCTCCCCGTCCATCCATCCATCCATCCATCCATCTCTCTCTCTCTCTCTCTCTCTCTCTCTCTCTCTCTCTCTCTCTCTCTTTCCTGCCTAGCTATCCTAAAGTACATGTTTCAGTACGCACATAAATAAAAATGAGATTTCAACAAACCATGGGGATTTTTTTTAAAAAAAACCCTCTGTGAAGATTCTTCTCTTCTGCTTAACGTTGCTGTCATTGGCAGGCATACTGCGGAGGATAAATTATTCTCTCACTCTTTCTGTCTGCCCCAAAGTTCTTTTTCTTTTTTCTTTTTGACTCTCTGAAAGTCTGGTTTTCATTCTGAATTCTTGACAAATATGCTGTACACATCCCTCGCTCTTCCTTTTTCATACAGAGGGATGCTTAGCAGGGCGGGGAGGGGGGACACTTTCTGAAATCTGAATTTTAAAAGCTTTCTGGTCCTTTTTGATGTATTTATCCTCTCCCTGAGCTTGTGTGTGTGTGTGTGTGTGTTTGTGTGTGTTCGCCCTTGGTTTTATAAGATGGAGGCCTTGAGCTGTCAATCTTCTCAAGAAGGTTGGTAGTTTATCTTCTGCTTCTTGTGTAGCACGGCTAAATCCTTTCTTTTCTTTTCTTTTTTTAAAGTTTTATTAGATTTTATAGGATTAGGGATAGAATGGGATCAGGGTTGGCTTAGGGTTTAGGTTGAGGTTGGGAACAGGATTGGGGTTATCCCCCAATGACATTTTCCATATTTAGCAAACAGGGTATTGTCTGGGTACATAAATTTAGATAACAGGAATCGATATAATAATAGATAGCAATAGCTCCCGTGAAACTGGACCCTGTTCTTCACCTTTCCAGAAAGCGAGTTGTGAAAACTGTCTTACATCGCCTTTGCCTTAACGCAGCCTTTTTTTTCCTTTCTTTTTTTTTTAAACTAGTCTGATTGCCAGGGATGACCAACAAGCACATGTAGGCAAGCGAACAGGCTGGTGGAGGGCAGAAAACAAGCTATCCCCTCTGTCTTGCTTGGTTTCCCTAGGCCAGTGGTGGCAAACCTATGGCACGGGTGCCAGAGGCGGCACCCAGAGCCCTCTCTGTGGGCACGCGCGCCGTCGCCCCAGTCCTAGACCTTCAGCTGGGTTTTATAAAACCTTTTCGCTTTAGGCCTCTGCCGCCGTGTGCAAAAAAAAAAAGTTTCAATCAATCAGTCAATTTCAGCTTCTCGCAGGAAAAAAAAAGATCTTGCAAAGTTGGAATTGATTGATTGATTGATTGAACTTTTTAGTCCCACCCAGTCTGCCGTTACCACTGCAGCCACGCCCACCCAATGGGCCACACCCACCCGGCACTCGACGACGCATAAGTGGGTTTTGGGTTGCAGTTTGGGCACTCGGTCTCTAAAAGGTTCGCCATCACTGCCCTAGGCAGCCCCTTCCCCCACGGCTAGTGTGGACCCAGAGTTGGGTGGAAGAGGGGGCCCGGTGGTCTATTCCCCCTTAAGCTTGGATGATCCAGACTCTGCCCGGCCATAATGTCACTTGGTCACCGACGCCAGGGGATTAATGGTGCCCAGGTGACGATTCGTTTGTTTTTTGTTTTTGTTTGTTTTTGGGCAGGCTTGGATATGGAAGAAGGGAAAGAAGGCGGCTCCTGGCTTGGCATCAGCAGGAAAGGCAAGATGGCCGCCTTGACCAATTACATGCAGCCTCAGATAAACAAGCAGGCAAAAGGAAGAGGCAAGTATGTAGTAACAAAGGGGAAGCGATGGGATATCCCCTGCTTCGCTGTAAGAATGGTTATTCTCCGTCATGGTAATACGGGCTGGGTTATATCATTAGAACTGTAATTGCAGTCTAGAATTAAAAAGGGAGCCCTGGTGGTTAGAATGCAGTATGGCAGGCCAACTCCGCTGCCAGCAGTTGGGCAGTTCGATCCTGACCGGCTCAAGGTTGACTCAGCCTTCCATCCTTCCAAGGTCGGTAAAATGAGGACCCAGATGGTTGGGGGCAACAGGCTGACTCTGTAAACTGCTTAGAGAGGGCTGTAGAGAACAATGAACTGCCAAACGGCGGGCAGCCGGCAGAAGTAGCCTGCATTCTAACCACTGCGCCACCAGGGCTCATAAGATCATTCTCCTTCCCCGTAAGGTTACATGAACAGAATTTTGCAAGTCTGAAAACGCAAATCTCCCACTGTTTCTTTCTACAGTCTGATCAGGGTCCTTCGTAAGCTTTTATCTGGCCGTTAAGCAGTTGTGGGCTCCTCCGACTTTTATCTGATGGTTCTGTAGACAGCATCTCTTCCCCCACAGTCCTTCAAGATCGTGTCTACACATATAGAATAGAATAGAGCTGGAAGGGACCTTGGAGGTCTTGTAGTCCAGCCTCTTGTTCAAGCAGGAGAACCTATATCATTACACTCCGGCAGCTTATTCAGTTCTGATATACTACGAAGCTTAATTGATGTGACGAGATGTCTGGTCTCCTTCTGGGAAATGATGCTCCCTAGTTACAAATCCCTAGTTCCGTTCCTCTCTTTGCAGGTGCTCTGGTGACCAATTTCTTGACATCAGAAATGGACAGCTACTCTTATTTGAAGAAAGTGGCCTCGGAAGGACACCTTTACAATGGCTTTAATTTGATCGCAGCAGACTTAAGGTAAGCCTATAGCAAACCGTTCAGCAGCAAAAACTCAGAAACTGAGGGAGGGGGTGTAGCTGCCCCCTCACCCCCCCCCAAAGCCATCAGCTGAGCAAGACGCCCTCCTGCCCACTGCCCCACCTGCCAGAGACCCCCTGGATCTCCCCCAACCCTGCCTGGCCCCCACAGGTATCCCTCCCCAGGAGCAATATGGAGCTGGCCACGCCCACCCTGGTCACGCCCATCCACCCTGGCCACGCCCACCCAGTCTGCCATGAACACCCAGGCCACGCCCATCTGGTACTCGGCGATACATAAGTGGGTTTTGGGTTGCAGTTTGGGCACCTGCTTTCTAAAAGATTCGCCACCAGTGGTATAAGGTTTCCTGCCTGAGCAGTGGGTTGGACTAGATGACCTCCAAGGTCCCTTCCAACTTTTATTATTATTATGAATCATCGCACAGTCAGCCGGATGTTCAGACTGGATTTGGCATTTTGTCTACCTATCGGGTCCTTGCCAAGGACCTGGGATAGGCAGATGTGGATGTTTGATGGTATTACAGGTCTCGTCGCAGGATGGAAGCAGTTCCCAGTAAGGCTGCCTTTTGCAATTGACTAATAGCGAATTTGTCAATGCCAATAGTGTTCAAGTGGTGCTCCAGTTGTTTTGGGATTGCACCCAAGGAGCCTATGACTATTGGTACTACCCTTGCTTGCTTTTGCCACAGTCTTTCTATTTCTATTTGTAGGTCTTTGTATTTTGTTATCTTCTCCAGTTCTTTCTCTTCTATTCTGCTGTCTCCAGGCACTGCCATGTCCACTATCCAGACTTTTTTGTCTTTCTTATCAACAGTTGTTAAGTCTGGGGTGTTATGTGGCAGGTGCTTGTCTGTTTGAATTCTGAAGTCCCAGAGCAGTTTAATTTTATCATTTCTTCTTCTCTTCTTCTTCTTCTTTCTTTCTTCTTCTTCTTCTTCTTCTTCTTCTTCTTCTTCTTCTTCTTCTTTCTTCTTATTATTATTATTATTATTATTATTATTATTATTATTGATCATCGCACAGTCAGCCAGATGTTCAGACTGGATTTGGCATTTTGTCTACCTATCGAGTCCTTACCCAGGACCTGGGATAGGCAGATGTGGATGTTTGATGGTATTACAGATATTGTCGCAGGATGGAAGCAATTCCTAATAAGGAATTATTATTATTATTATTATTATTATTATTATTATTATTATTATTATTATTATTATTAAAGGTGGGATAAAAATGAAACTCTGGTATTGTGGTGCCAGAGGTAACCCTGGTGCTACAGATTATGAGCCCAGTCTTTGGATAAACCTGGAGCAGTTTAAACTCTGCACATCCCACGCCCCAATCAAATTCTTGAAAGAAATGACTCTCCCCGCTGGGACTGATCACATCCTATCGTTATCTGACCCCCGTAGTCGAAAGCGGTGTTCAAAAAGAAAGTGTTTGGGGGGGGAGGAAGAAAGAAAAAAAGTGATCCTTCCTTGACTGCAAATCTCAGCTCCGTGGTACATATTTTGACAAGGACAGGGAAAATATCCTTGGCAATAATTGCTTCGGAGATCTGTGTCTGACAGCTTGGAAAAAAAACCCAAAAAACAGATGAGCAGCGCTTGGGGAAAAAATGAATCGCTGAATTCGGAGCCAAAAAAGGACAATGTTCAGTTTTCAAAATGTGCCAAGATCCTCATGTTAGCTTTCTTTCCCACAAAAGGAGGATTAGGGTTGTCCGTCTCTGTTGCGCTTCAGATACAAGCAACAATAAGTGTGGTTTAGGCTTCCTATCCCCTCCCACGGCGAACGAGAAGCAGTGCTGAATCGACGGTAATCATGACCGTGGTTCGAGGGAAACCTGGTTTTTATAAAGGCCAAAGCGGCGGGTGGTAGATTTTATATTTTTAAACGCCTCCAGTGTGTCCAGTAGACTATTAGAATTCGCCTCAACGCAGCTTGCGAGTAGAGGTAGGTCACTCCGACACTTTCCTTTTAAAACATTTCCCAATGTCTTCTGCTGGAGCAGCGATCTGCAGATCCCAGCGGGATCGTAACTACAGGTCGGCTGCGGTCTGATTTGCTAATGTGCCCTTGGATTCCGTGTCTTGAAGAGAGAAGCTCTCCTGGCTGGAAGAGAGGACGGAAAAAATGGACAGGGAGGGGAAAAGAGAAGGGGGGCCTCCGTGAGAGGGAAGAAGCTTTGAATAACATGGGTTTTTCTTTTCTTTTTATTGATTTCATTAAACGTTTGCGCCGTCCGTGTCCCCTATATAAGGTGACCCTGGGAGGCTTACAAACGATAAAGTAAGTAAAAAAATATAGGTAGTCCTGAATGTACGACCAATGTTTCTGCTGCTAAGCGAGGCAGACAAGTCTTTAACAGAGCAGCTGCTTCCCTCAAGCCCTTTACAGGTGGCCCTCAACGGCCACAATTGAGCCCCCAAATTTCTGTGGCTAAAAGAAACATTTGTAAAGTGAATTTTCCCCCATTTTAGGACCCTGTTTGACCCAGTTGTTAAAAGAATCGCTGCCGTTGATTAGTTAGTAACCCGGTTGTTAAGCAAATCTGTCTTTTCCCCTTGAATAATAATAATAATAATAGTAATAATAATAGTAATAATAATAATATAACAACACCATCATTGGCATTGACAAATTTGCCATTAGTCAATTGCAAAAGGCAGCCTTACTAGGAACTGCTTCCATCCTGCGACGATACCTGTAATACCATCAAACATCCACATCTGCCTATCCCAGGTCCTGGGTAAGGACTCGATAGGTAGACAAAAATGCCAAATCCAGTCTGAACATCTGGCTGACTGTGCGATGATCAATAATAATAATAATAATAATAATAATAATAATAATAAAAGAAGAAGAAGAAGAAGAAGAAGAAGAAGAGAAGAAGAAGAAGAAGAAAGAAGAAAGAAGAAGAAGAAGAAGAAGAAGAAGAAGAAGAAGAAGAAGAAGAAGAAGAAGAAGAAGAAGAAGAAGAAGAAGAAGTAAGAAGTAAGAGTAGTCTGAACATTTGGCTGACTGTGCGATGATCCATAATAATAATAACAATAATAACACACCCCGGGGACACGGCAACCGTCCTAAATATGAGTCGGTTGCAAAGCATCTGAATTTTGATCATGTGACCACGGTCGTAAGTGTGGGGAAACGATCCCAAGTCCCTTTTTTCAGTGCCGTTGTAGCTTTCAACGGTCACTAAATGAACTGCTGTAAGTCAAGGACTGCCTGTAATTGTAAAAAAAAACTCAATGCCTCGTTCCCATTATCTGAATAAGATTTGTTTGGCTTTGGTGCCCTTAGCTCTGCCAAACCTTGTAATGGATTTGTAGGGTGGAAGAAAAAAACAACTGGTGGAGCTATTATTGGGAGGGGGGGGAACCAGATCAGCTTTGGGGAAAACACAGAGGCAGCTCAATTCTGTTCTTAGAAAGGAGAAGCATCCAGTGTCCTTTTTTTAATAAATGAAATTAGGAATCTCATGAGGCTCCAGACTTGGTATTACACGAGCATCTTCCAGCCGAAGGCTATTAACTAAAAGTAGAATTAAATAATCCTGAAACTCAGAACTGGGTTAGCTAATGAAATGGAGCTCGGAGTTCTTCCACATAAAAACCCTCCTGGCTTCTTTAAGCTAGCTTCATTTCAGCAGGATAATTTAGGATTCGGGCGTGGGAGCCTTTCGATGGCTACTGTTTTAAAACTGCTCACCCCCGACAGCCTGTCGTCAATCTGGCTAATCTCGAAAAAAGCTAGGAAGGGTTTGGCAGGGTTAATCCCTGGATGAGGAAAAAAAAAATAAGGAATGCCAGAGCTGTACACTAGACTGAAAAATGGGGAGGAGGGAGGATATCTTGGTAGACAGCAATGGCAAACTGTGTAATCCACCATATTATGTATCCTGGCTGTTCTGGGCATAATAAACGATAGCCCCTAGGTTTAGTCACCATGCAAAGCTCTCTTTATTTATTTCACTTATTTTTTGTGCTAAGGAGACAGACTCTCTAGCACACACTGTTCATTTATATTGCAATCTTACAACTTATGGGCAGATGTGAGTCCGTGAGGATCTCATTTATTTACTCAGCACACTTCTCTCCACAATCCTCTAAGATTTTCTCTCTCTCTCTCTCTTTCTTTCTTTCTCTCTTTCTCTTTCTCTCTCTCTCTTTCTCTTTCTCTCTTTCTCTTTCTTTCTATTTCTCTCTCCTCTTTCTTTCTCTATTTCTCTCTCTTTTCTTTCTTTCTTTCTTTCTCTTTCTTCCTCCCTCCCTCCCTCTCTCTCAAGACAAATAAACAGATAAAAAGAAAATAAACAAAATCTCCCAAGGAATTGTAGGGTAATTCACATGAACGGCTATGCAGTGATACCGCATCCCAATCCACTCTCTTTGGCAACGCCTGTTCGTTATTTCGTGTTTTGCGTTTCAAACTTAAAATTAACAGACTCCGTTTCCGAGGAATTGCTGGTGTGTTTTTCTTTAGGGAAAAGACCAATCTAAAAAGAGGAAGCTAAAAAATGATTAATGCATGATGTACAACCGTGTTCTTTTGGGGCTTATATCATGCGTTTTGGAGGGAGAAAAAGTATTGAACTTAAAGATGTTTCAGTCTTGCCGGGGAAAATAAAGTGATAAATCAGAACTATATTTGCCCTGGCAATGTGACAGCTTCAAAGTAGTTTCCCCCCCCCCAAAAAAAAACCCCAACCCCACCAAATTCTTCTTTTCCAAGGTTATTATATACGAGTAGAGAATATTCCAATCCCACTAATATTTTCACATGGAAAACCAGGGGAAAGAACTATAAAAACAGCTTTGTTATCTACTGTGGTGTTTGGGAAGGAAGGAAGGAAGGAAGGAAGGAAGGAAGGAAGGAAGGAAGGAAGGAAGGAAGGAAGGAAGGAAAAGAAAGAAGGAAGGAAGGAAGGAAGGAAAGAAAAAAGAGAAAAAAGAAAGGAAGGAAGAACAAAAGGAAGGAAGGAAGGAAGAAAGAAAAAAAGAAAGGAAGAACAAAAGGAAGGAAGGAAGAAAAAAGAAAAAGAAGAAAGGAAGGAATGGAAAAAAGGAAAGAAAAAGAAAAAGTGAGAAAGAAGGAAGAAAGATAGAAAGAAAAGAAAGGAAGAAAGGAAGGAAGGAAAGGAAGAACAAAAGGAAAGAAGGAAGGAAGGAAAAAAGAAAAAAGAAAGGAAGGAATGGAAAAAAGGAAAGAAAAAGAAAGTGAGAAAGAAGGAAGAAAGAGAAAGAAAGGAAAGAAGGAAGGAAAAAAGAAAGGAAGAACAAAAGGAAAGAAGGAAGGAAGGAAGGAAGGAAGGAAGGAAGGAAGGAAGGAAGGAATGGCAGAAACTGGATATGGTTATCAAGTGAGGAATGCAATAAATACTCTGGATTTTTAGGCTGAGCCATAAACTAGAATCTGAGAAAAACTGCCAACTGGCTGATGTCCCGGGGTGCGGCTGCTAATATAATAGCCAAAAATTATTTTTTAAAAAATTCTATTTTAGACACAGACAGAATTATGTTCATCTGTCAGAACAACCGTGCCCGAATTTTAAAACGCCGAAGTGATGTACATTGCGGCGACATCTCCTAAACTATGCAAAAGGCTTTCTCTGCAAACAGCTTTTTAAAAAAGCCACGGGAATGTATTTTTGCGACTTCGTAAGCTAACATAAATCAAACAGGAGCCGAACACCCTACCTACACTGGCAAGGCTCAGTATTTAAAAGGGGGGGGGCTACAGAGATGAAAGCTGCTAAATTCACCCTGAATGGTATTCCCATTTCAAAATACGCAGAACGATTTCTCTTTATTCAAGAGATCTGCAACTTAAAAAAAAAAGAAAAGGAAAGGGAAAAAAAAAAGAGAGATAAGGTTGTGAACTCAAAGCTTATCAAGGAAGCGGTGGGGGTAAAAGATGGACAGGAGGGGTA